AAGTGGGATTAAATGACACATTGGTCAATTAATATTTTGCAAGAGAAACTCCCCCTTCCCTCATGCCCTACAATATGTTTCATTTTTCTTTTTCAGCATAGAGAATAAAGATTTGATGATTTTCTTTTCACATTGAACAAAGGGCAAATAACTCTTATAAACGTAACCAAAATATGGCTTTCACACTTGCAAGAAGGTAGTCCTTTTAGTGGTAGATTTGGTCTCTACAAATCAGAAAATTACTCAAAATAAATTTCACACTTCATGCAAGGTAGCTCTTTCATAATGGTGGCAAGAATGGACAATCAACTCGTGATCAGATAAGATCATGTAATAGAGAGAGTCTTAGTGGACACAACATACCAGAGTTAGCACACAGATAAGAGAAAATGAATGACAATTAGAGTGTTGGCATAGATCAAAGAATCTTGACAAACAAAAATAAAAGTAGCATGTTCATGCTTTATTCAATGGAAAAAATGAAAAACTATTCAAGTTGAAGTAGTCCAATGGACTTCCTTAAGAAAACAAAAGTATCATAATCAAGTGTTTTTGTAAATAAATCAAACAATTGGGATTTTGTGTTCACATGAGCAAGTGCAATGATGTTCTCTTCGGCTAACTTTCTAGTGGAATGATGTCTTATGTCAATATGCTTAGTCCTAGAATGTTAGACTAGATTCTTAGAGATGTTAATGGCACTTGTGTTATAAAAAAAAATTGTCACACAATCTTAATCAACACCATAATCATTCAACATTTGCTTTAACCATAAATTATGAGTGCAACAACTCTCTGTGGCAATGTACTCAGCCTCAGCAGTTGATAAGGAGATTGCATTTTGCTTCTTGCTATACCATGTGACAAGCCTGTTTCCAAGATAGAAACATCCACTCGAAGCACTCTTTTTATCATCCAAACTTCCTGTCCAATCCGCATCACTATATCCAACCAAACAATTGTTAGAATCCAATGAGTACCATAGACCAAAATCACACGTACCTAAAACATATTTCATGATTCTTTTCACTGCATTCAAGTGCAACTCAGATGGGTTAGTTTGAAACCTATCACAAACACCAACAGTAAAACAAATATCACGCCGGCTTGCAGTTAAGTAAAGAAGACTACCTATCATGTTTTAGTACATCTTATTGTCTACCTTTTTACCATGTTCATCTTTGGGCAGTTTAAAGGTAGCACTCATAAGGGCTCTAGGATGCTTTGCATTCTCTAGACAAAATCTTTTCAACATGTTTCTAGCATACTTTGATTGGGAAACAAACATGCCATTATCCATTTGTTTAATTTGAAGTCCAAGAAACATATTCAATTCCCTTACCATACTCATCTCAAACTCATTTTTCATCAGACTAATAAATTCAAGTGCATGTGAACGAGATGTAGAACCAAACACAATATCATTAATGTAAATCTGTTCACACATGATTTCATTGTTAGTACACTTGATAAAGAGGATTTTGTCAGAATTACCTCATTCATAGTTATGCTCACGAAGGAAAGTTGTCAACCTTTCATACCAAGACCGTGGGGCTTGTTTCAAACCATAAAGTGCTTTCTTCAATCTGAATATATGATCACGTTTGTGGGGGTCTTGAAAGCCAATCGGTTGTTCAATATACACTTCTTCGATGAGCATTCCATTCAAGAAGGCACTTTTGACATCTATTTGGAACAATTTAATCTTGAGGCAGGAGGCAACAGACAGCAGCAATCGAATTGATTCAAGTCGAGCAACGAGGGTGAGGGTTTCATCAAAGTCAATTCCCTCAACTTAAGTATATCCCTGAGTTACAAGTCTAGCTTTGTTTCTGACAACATTATCAAACTCATCAGTTTTATTTTTGAAAACCCATTTGGTACATACTCTGTTGATTCCCTCTGGTCTTGGTACAAGCGTCCACACATCATTCCTTTCAAATTGTTCTAGTTTTTCTTGCATGGCTCCAATCCAATTTTCATCTTCCAAAGTTTGTTTGACATTCTTCGACTCTGCAAGAGACACATAACAATGATGGTTAATTTCATTTTGTCTTCTCCTTCTTATAACCATTACCTCATTTGGATCTCCAATCAGGTTAAAGGTGGATGAGCTTTTTGAACCCATGTTGGTAGATCTTTTCTTCTTTGGTTTCTCCTTTGAATGCTTTCATCAGAAAGATCAACAACCAGCTCAATTCCTTCATTTTGCAATGATGAATCAGAAGATGATTCTTTGCAAAAAGCAGATCCAATTGCTATAGCACCGGAAGTAGGCGATAACACATTTGACAAAGGCTTAGGTTGAGGAGATTCAATAGTGTTCACACCATCTTATGTGGGCACACGGGGAGTAGACAGGTCTTAAATTTCACATTCTTGTGAATATTCTGAAAAATCTTCTACATCACTAAACACAACATTAATTGATTCTAAAACTTTTTCAGAACGTATGTTATAGATCCTGAATGCACAACTGTTGGAAGAATAACCAATGAAAACTCCTTTTATCACTATTAGAATCAAACTTACCTAACTTCTCTCTATCATTCAAAATGTAGCATTTACATCCAAACACATGAAAGTAAGAGAGATCAGGTTTCTTACCTTTCTGCAGCTCATAGGTAGTTTAAACAGTACCTTTTCTAAGGTAAACTCTATTGGAAAAATGACAAGTTGTGTTGATAGCTTCGACCCAAAGTCTTGTAAGGACCTTTTTGGTATTAAGTATCACCCTTGCTATCTCTTGAAGCACTCTGTTTTTCCTTTCCACAACACCATTTTGTCGAGGTGTTTTTGGTGTTGAAAATTCTTGGTATATGCCCTGCAATTCACAAAAATTAGCAAAATCAACATTTTCAAATTCATTTCCATGATCACTCTTTATTCTCACAATTTTTGTAACTTTAGAACTCTTCTCAACAAGCAACCTTTTAGCCAATTTTGAAATGAATTAGATTTCTCACGCAAAAAATCAACCCAAGCATACCTTGAAAAATCATCAACATAAACAAACACATACCTCTTACCTCCCAAACTCTCAATTTGCATAGGACCCATTAGATTCATATGGAGCAATTCCAAAACACATGAGGTATTGAGATTTGATAAAGCTTTATGAGATATTCTGGTTTGTTTACCTTGTTGACATGGACCACACACATTACCTTTTGCAAATTCAAGTTTCGATAGTTCTTTAACCACTTCCTTCTTTGAGAGTCTTACCAAGTCCTTGAAGTTCATATGACCAGGTTTCTCATGCCACAAGTTTTTGAAATCTGTTTTTAAACTGAAACATGACACATGGTTAGAAAGAAAGTAACAATTGTCGTTTGACATTTTTCCCTCAAGTAGAGAAACACCTTTACCATTCAGGATTTGACACTAGTCCTTTGAGAATTAAACCACAAAATCTTTGTCACAAATTTGACTAATACTAATCAAATTTGCTTCAAACCATTAACAAGTAAGACATCTTTCAAAATAGGAAAATCAGGAACCGCAATTGACCATTTGTCAAGAATTTTACCTTTCTTTTCATCTCCATAAGTGACATATCCACTTTCAACCGATTCAAGTTCAGTCAAGAGAGATTTATTACCTATCATATGCCTTGAACAACCACTGTCTAAATACCAAAGATCATTTTGAAATGCAAGCAAAGAAGTATGAGACAAAAAACAGTTCACATCAGCCTTAGGTTTCCAAACTCTTTTGGAAGAAAAACCATTGTTAGCATTATGATTTACATTAGCAATAAAACTATGGTTTTTTAAAACTTTCTTCAGATAAGTAATAAACCTGAAGCATTTGGGTCTAATGTGACATTTCCTGTTACAAAAATGGCAAATAAGAATGAATTTTGATACCTTCATAACCTGTCTCATAGCAGTTCCTTCAGCAGGAGTTTCAATGGATTTCACAAACGTTCTTGCACCAACTTTCAATGTGCTAGCACCAGGACTGAAGCCCAAAGCATACCAATCTTTGAAGGATTTTCCTTGACCAAGCACTTTATCAAACTTTAGAGAACCTGCATGCAACTTATCAATGATAGCCTTAGCCTCATTTAGTTCAACAGTAAAACAACAATCTTTTCGGATAATGCTTTCTTCTGCTTCAACAAGGTAACATTCTCAATACACTACGAGAATTTAGGCTTCTCGCAAAAAAAATGATTTGTTATTATAAATATCAAAATTGTGACTATAAATTGGTCACATTAAGCTCGTACTATTACATATATGGTGACAAAAAAACGTTTGATCACCATAACCTAATTATTTATTGTGACAATAATAATTTATCACTTTAAACTAATTTATTGTAATAAATTATTTGTAACAACAAAAAATATTTTTTTATCACTACAAGTAATATTTTATTACAATTAATTTATATTTAAACACTAAATGATAAACTTTATGGTGAGAAAATAATATATTATGCCCAAATTGATTTTGTCAAAATTATGAATAATGACTAAATTATTTACTCATAATTTTAATAGTGACAAAAATTTATTTGTCATTAACTTTATTGTGACAACATTTATTTTATCATATGTATGTCTATGTGACAATATTATTTGTCAAAAATTGTATAATAACGGATAATTTTGTAAAAAAATTAATAGCATGACATAATTTTTGATACAAATATTTTTAAATGACAAATTTTTATTGTCAAAATAATATAGGCATGACAAATTTTTTTTTGTCATCTCAATAATGATAAAAATATGCATAACCACGGTACCATCTAATGTCTTATGCCGCTATTAAAGCAGCTCATCATACATGAAATCCATCCAGTATATAAAGATAGTAGCATAGTCTAAATGGCTCAATCAACACGCTAATTAGAAGGCACGTAATGACAATATAAATAATCGCTAGGATGAATCATCAGTTCCCTCTGCAATTTAGGAAAAAAAAAAAAAAAAAATTTCATTAATATGCGAAAGAAAGCAAAAGAAGTGAAAGTTGTTTCACTTTTACTTACGTGTTCATCATCAGAGTTATGTTGTCTCCTTTGAGAAGAATCCTTCCTGTGAAAATAAAGAAAGGATTTAAAGTATGGGCATTTTATTAGAGGGATTAAAAAAAAGTGAGAAAATAAATCACCTAATGACTTCCTGGTCTTTTTCTTGATGTGGACTGTTTCAGCATCATCCAGAACCAAGTTCATGTATTCATCAAAACCCTGTAAAACCAAAATGAATAACAAAAATTGAATCACATTTTGAACGAATTAAGAATCTAATAAATGCTTACAACGAAGGTATTTCTATAAATAATATCATTTGTCTTAACTTATTTTACTTATTTTGGGAAAAGTTAAGGAAAGGTTTAAAGCATGATCCATACTACAACTAAAGCAAGAAAAACAACAAAAGACTACCGGCATAATGAATTGAATGGATAAAGATTTCTTATCTTAGACATGTTCATCGCTAAAGCAATTGGAATGTATTATACATTTGAAAGCCAAATATCACATGTTCCTAGAAATGTATCATGAGGCTTACTTTGCTTCAAAGAGCTCATTTCCTACAAGTTACATGGTTATATGTGATTCACGCCCCTTTTAAACATCAGTTCAAGTCACATGCACAACAACATGCCCTCTCTTATAATAAGGAGAAGAAATGTTTACAAAGAGACAAGATAAGTTGAGATAATTAAAAATTGGCTGACCAGCTCGTTACAAATGAAGAAACTACCTTTTGTATCTGTTCTTGACCTTGTGTAAACAAATTGCTCTGACCTTAAGTAAAAGATTATCTTATGACAAAAAAAAAAAAAAAACTTTGATAAGGATGGCTTATAGGTTATCATATCACATATCCAACTAGCCCAACAAAAAGATTTAAACAGGTAAGCACGTTTTTCCCTATAAACATTGTTGAGTGCAACTCAGAACCTCTACCACCTACTCTTCAAGTAAAAATGAGCATTAAAGGTCAACAGGTCGTGAATTTGACAGCTGAAACATGAATAATTGATACAAGAAAATGATATCTACTCTCATAACTGAATTTATTATCATTGAAGATTAACGAAGTGAAGAAAATACAAGTAATATTATGCATTCCTAGTTGGAAAGTCAGCAACAACATGACATGCTGAAACAAATGAGCCACTTTAAGAGTAGAATGATATTCTTATGTGTTTGCCAATCAAAACCCTAACCTACCATAAAAATTATTAGCAAATTGCGTCAATGAAACAAACTAAACTTATAGAATACAGAAGAGCAGAATGCTTGAAAGGATATCACAGATACGAAAACTGAGCTGTTCGAAAGTTGAATTCAACAGGAAGCCAACCTACTTTTATATTTATGATTGGCTGGAGATTCAAAAGCTAAGCATCCTAAGGAGTTAGATCATAAAGGAACTAGAGCAAGAAATTGCAAAATTAAATGCCAGTAAAGATGCATCTTTTAATTTCTATTTCTTCTTTGTGTTGCAGTGCTTTATTTTTCTTTTCAATTTTATATGGGGTAGTGACGACGTTGCAACCTAGTACTATACAGAGTGTATACTTGATGAGAACTATAAATAGATGGGAACAGCAAAGATGAAACACATCACCATAAACATCACCATATGAAAGATGAAAAGAAAAACTTCAAAAAATATAACAAAATGATAGGTATACCCCAGAAACAATCATATCAAGACTTTTACATTAACAAAACAAATCTACTATGACAAAAGAATGTGAATTTCTCTATATCTAAAAACACTCTTTATCAGCAAAGTGGAGCATGTAAGCAACTTCCAAATCCAATCTTTGCACTTACTAACAAATAACATGCAGACAATATTCAGATCATCCAACATAAACAATGTGATTAACGACTATATACCAAAAACTGCAAACTAACAAATACCACATCTCTAACATCATCAACCATTCAAAAAAAAAAAAAAAAAAAAAAAAAAAAAAAAAAAAGATAATCCATGATCAACTTATTCATGTGTACAATAAAATTCACAAAGCACACTCCCCCTTCTTACGAATTGTATTGATAGCAAAAAAATTTCCAAGTTACCTATTTCTTCAAATAAGAACACTAAAACAAGCCTCTTTATGCCCTAAGGGCGGAGAAGGAACAGACATTGTATTGCGTGACCAAAGACATAAGTGTAATGTGAGTTAATTATCCCAAGTGCGTTAAGGAAAAAAAATATTCATAATATCTTCGTTTTTCTCAATTAAACTCATGCCTTTTCGTCTTAACTTTTTGTTACAGGAATCACTCTATTCAAAGTGGTTTTCTTCCTTTATCATACTCAATTTTTTCCGTACAGAATTTCCACTACAGACAGGAGCAACAAATTATGATTAAAAGTAGTAGAACCAACTAAAATTCCAAGTACAAAGCATCAAAATCTTACTAAGTTATTCCAAGTTAATAACCCTTTGACATCTAAAAAACAAAAATGAGAATTATACAATGAAAAAATCTTTAAAAAAATATGAAAACTTACAATGATTTGGCCTTCAATCCTCAAATCCTTCTGCTCAAAAAGCGAAATTTGAATGCGAGTTTTCTGAATATATGCAAACAAAAAATAGCCAAACTAAGCCCAAAACCCATCAACAAAAAACAAACTTTAAGCAGACCCAGAAGAGGAAATCACTTACGCTTTGAAGAAACCTGAAAATCAAGTTCTGGAAACACACAAACCCACAAAAACATTAGCAAAAAAAAAAAAGAAGTTAATCAACAAATATAAGTCATTGAAAGACAAAGAAGTAGAGGAAAAGGATACAAAACGTACAAGTCATAATCCTCTGAACTTTGGTGCTCGCCATTGTTGTTGTTGTGGTCGAGCTCCAAGAGAGTGAAGAGATGTCGAAGTTGAACCTAGAGGCTAGAGCAGACGAGTTAAGCTGTACTTAAGAAGAAAGAAATGGGCTTCGGGGCTAGGCTTAAATTGACCCGAAGCTCGGGTTACAGGCCCATCTCATATTAGATTGGGAGAGATTTGACATTTTTTAAATCAAATTTAAGAGTTTATTTGAATAAGGAATATAACAAATCTTATTAAAACAAAAAAGAGTTGAAATACTTTTGAAAAGAGATTGTTATCATCTTAATTGGAGTAAAGTCGATAAATGAGAATGTTTTTTTAAGGAAATTATTTTCTATAGAACCAACAGAATGTCTTTTTACTCAACTTGAAATTTAGGTAGTATTTGTTTTTTATCTAAAAATTAAATAGTCTTGATTATTGAATATGTTTGAATGTATTATTCTATTCGATATATATATTTTTTCTTTTTCATTGTCTAATTATAAGTGTTTGATTGTTTGTTTTTATTGGTGTTTTGACACATATGTCCTTATGAAGTTACTTCTATATTTTTACATACATGATAACTATACTATTTCAAATTTTTAAAATAATAAATAAAATAAAGATATAATAATTAATGATAACTATGTTATTACATTGTGTTTGTGTAATAATTAAAATTTTATTATAACAAAAAAATTAAAAACAACTAAATTAATTAGATCATTGAAAGAATTAATTTTCAATTTGGTCTCACAATTATTATATGTGTTAGGAAACGATCATCTATGGCAGCGGAAAATGAAATAATTTACATGATAGATCGTTCCTTAGAACCAAGATCAGAGCACAAAAATTTACAATTTATACATAATTTTAGAATCTGCAGAATTTCAGTTTAGAGTTTAAGAAATCATACGCACGTTTAGAGGCTACTCCAATCTTGTCTCTGAACGTATTTTGCTACCGAACTAATGTAGTCCACATGAAGATAACCCCAAAGAACTAAAGAGGGATTTGCTAGATCCTCTTTAGCCTTTAAGAACCAAGAAGAAATTAATCAAAAAAAATTCCCAAACAAAAGGAATCTGGCGTGGGAGAGAATGAAAAAGGGGCTGGAGTTTTTTTTGAATGAAAAATAAAATCTCTCTTTTATTTCACAAAGTGTTGCACTTATATAGTGCAACATTATACCCTATTCCATCATGGAATGGGCTTAGGCACCAACCCAAACAACTCCTTGTATCCAAACAGCCCCTTTAAGATATTTTATTTTAATTATCATTATCTCAATTAAATTCAATTAATATATATAATATATTAATATTTAACAATAATGATAATTTGTTTAAGTATATGCGAACACATATTTAAACGTAATCTCACTTATTTAATTTTAATATCAAATTAAATAAAGGCTATGACCTCGGCAAATTTAATTGCACTGTGAAATTACCAAAATACCATTTCGCCTAAAAAGACGAAAACGCCCTTCTTGTAAACCAGTTCTTAAATTATCTTCTATGTGTGTGACCTGTAGGCTCCTTATCATACCGGTAGTATGTAGTATCGCGATTAATACCAATTAATCGTCTCACTACACACAGACCAAGATTGACCCATAGCAAGGCATCATGGCCACCCAATAGATTCGGATTTAGCGAAGCAGCTACCTGTCAATGATATGGTTACCGTACAATCCGATCCATTCATCATCCGTTATCTCGACGAGACTGGGGCATAGAAATAGTGTCAACCTCGGTTACTCTCGATATTATGTATTTAGTTACTAAACCAATGACTTGTATTATAAACTGGATAGAGCAACAACTAAATCCCACTATGGCCACAGTTTTAGTGTCATTGTCATTTACTGAATTGCGCCGTGAGATAACTTCTCCCGTACCCGGGAGTGATGAATCATCTATCTATCCATCATAGTCTTGACACACTCCTTGAAGCAGCCAATTACCACCGTATTAACAACTCTGAATAGAACTACGTTAGGTTAGTGTCAAACTACACCAATCGGTGCACAAGGCGCTTTGGTGATCTCAAGTCTAAGGATCATATGCACCACCATTCGTTAGAGGATTTGTTCCATAGACACTAGGGTTACCATCCATATGGAATCCTCTGGTGGGTCAGTCCAGTGAACTTGCCTATAGCAAGCACCCATGTGTTGCACCAGGTTGTCACCAAACAACCTTGACAAGTGAGATCAGTCACTGTCTTTCGATAGGGTTGTTTAACACTATGATAGCCTTACCGTATTATTTATGCCCTTACTTCAGAATAATACTGGGGCTACAGATATTTCTAGAATGGCCACCATATGTGCTCATAGGGTTCTCACTATCAAGATTTGAAACACTTGATACTCTCGTCACGGTTCTACCATTCTAAGGACATATATCAATACATACAAAGATGATTTAAGCGATATAGAATAAAATGCATTTTATTTATCAATGAACATTATTACAAAGAGTCAATTCTACAATAATTGATTGGCTCTAGGGCACATACTCTAACAATATGAACAATTGATCAATTATTCCATGCAAGTTGATTGCCAAGGGCAGAGCCAAAAAATTTATTCTAGGGGCACTAGAATTTAATGTTTACTGAATGACAGAGCCAGAAAGTAATTAGAAAGTTACACTTATAGGGGCTAAAGTATTACTTTCAAAAATTTTGGTGGCTAGAAAAAACTAAATTTATAGGGAGTAACATCATATTTTTCTATACTAAATTTAAATTTTTTTTCTGAAGCCTGGGTGAATGTGGCTCTGCCATTGGTAATTGCATTTTTTATGGTTGATTTTGATTTGTGCAACTATGATAAATAAAAAAGATAAAAATATATAATATAAAGATTTTGATAAAAATGAAATTATTTAAATTTGATAGGGATATGATTGACAAATAAAAATGATATTAATTAAGATGTTTTAGTATTAAGATAAAAGCCAAATTTTTTGGCTTTTTGATTTTGTTTGATTATCATATAAAATTTAAAAAATAGACAAACCTAAAATGTCCAAATCAAGTAAAATTAGATTTTTAAGACCAAAAAATAAAAAGCCCCATAGATGGTAGATAATTGTTGGTCGCCTTTTTGTATTTTTCTGAAAAATAAATAAAATAAAAATATAGCAAAAATGAGCTATAAATTACAAAGGGTCCACTATTGGCTTAGGTCTAAATTTAGGGGTGAGCACGGATAGCGGGTAGAACCGGAACCAGGGGTAAGAACCAGAACCGGAACCGGAACCTACCCAGAACCTGCACTGTGCGGGTAGGTTCCGATTCCAATTTTTTGGAACCGCTACTGTGCGGTTCCGGTTTCAGTTCCGGTTCCGGTTCCGGTTCTTGCATGTGGAGGAACCGGAACCAGAACCAGAACCTGTAAAAAGGGTACCCTATTTGGAACCTGTTTTGGAACCTGTTTGGAACCTGTTTTGGAACCTATTTGGAACCTNAAATCCTGCTTTAGTCGAGGAAATCCCTCGGGCAAGTGACTAATGGGACACAGAGAAGGATTTGCACGGTGCCTACCCACTTGCAGTTTTTACAATCATTAACTTGAACGCCACTATAAATACAGGACTTTCCTCTCATTTTAAGGGATTAGTTAATTTTACGCTTAGACAACTCTCTTTCTCTCTCTCCCTTATATTCTCACTCAAATTGTAACTCGGCTCGCTGGATGCGACCTGATCTCTCTCTTATTAATACAATAGTAGTGGACGTAGGATTCGCTTTTGAGCATCCGAACCACTTTAAACATTGCTCTTCACCCTTTATCTTATTTACCCATTTTTATATCACGTGTGACTTCTAAGTCCTTTTAGCATTTTACACGTGCGAGTAGTTAATGTCAAAATCCAGCATCAACAGTTTAGTGCTAGAAAGAAGGTCTGATTTAATACCTACTTTTCATCAAAGGAATCTCTGACTGATCGGTCCCATAACAGCAGATGGCTTGCTGTTTCGAATCTAAGCGAACTGGTCATGGTAATGAAGTTATTCCCCAAGTACAAGAGGACACTTCTCCCGAAGTGCCACCAGTCCAGTAGAACATCATTGGGGATATCCTTTCAAGCTCACAGCCCGACCCAACTGTTATGAGCTACTTGGAGAGGTTTAATAATACTCTTCAAATGGTCAGCCGAATGCTAGACCGATTACATCGGGTCATGCCACTTGAATCCAATGAGGCGATGCCACCGCCAAAAACACCTGCAAGTCACGTGAAAGCGCAGAAAAGGGCAAAAGCCCATGTCGCGCGCACTGCAACGCTTCAGAAAAAGGGAAAGCAAGTGGCACACAGCGGACCCAAGGGCTCCGAGGGAATAGCGAATGTCAATCGCATCCCGGGTAGAATACCTGTGGCATTGCAACTCGACGATATGCCGCAGCATGAGCCGTCCCATGCCAGGTCACACGAGCACGCCCACAAAGGTGCAAGGCGGGGAGATTCCCATTAGCGGGTCGGTTCGTACCACCGTGGAGGTCGAGAAGACTCCCCGAATCCCTTGATGCCATCACACGACTCCAGCCAACGTGTGTCGAGATTGGTCAGGGCTCTCGGCCGAGGTGAGGAAGAGTTTGACTTGCGGTCTTTCCTCAACTGTAACCTTGAGGGTCGAACCCACGTTGCGGAAAGTGATCGATTGAGGAGCTACAGCGAGCTTTAGATCAGTTTAAAGCTCAGCAAAATTAGCAAAGGTAGGTCGCAGATGGGTCTCCCGTTTCTTTGGTAGTGTTAGCTATCTCTCTCCCGTTGAGATTCAGAATGCTCGACATACGAGCATTCGACGGAAATTCTGATCCGCATGATCATTTATACGAGTTCAACGACCTCATGGAACTCCACCAAGTCTCTAACCATGCCAAGTGTTGGTTTAGGTCGCTCCCAGCGGGATCAGTCGGCTCATGGCCTTAAATGAGCTCGACGTTTCTGAGACACTTCCAAGCGAACATGAAGTTCTCAATGCTGTTAAGCTACCTAAGCAATATACGGCAGGAGAGGGGTGAACCCCTTCAATCTTATATAGACAGGTTCCTTAGGGAGCTCCATAAAGTTGCTCATACTCCCAAAGAGTCTATTCGGACTCTCATCATTACGGGAGTTTGCTCGCATACAAACTTGTGGAAGGAACTGCAGTCTGAGGACGATGTTTCCCTTACTCGCTTCTACAACCTTACTGAAGAGTACCTCCGCATTGAGAATTTTGTGGTCGCTCTCAGTCGCCACGACCCCGGTTCTTCGGGTAGTGCTCCCAACCGAGGAGAGAATAGGAAGGCTGATCGTAGATGGGCTAATGACGATCAGCGACAAGAAAAGAAACAGCAGTATGAGCCTAAGAAATCCTATACCCCAGTGCCTCATCGCAATCGCGACAAGAGTCAGTACACTCCACTGAATGCCTCGGTATCAGATATTCTGGATAAATAAAAGGAGGCCAGTTTGCTCGGGGAGCCTGAGCCCATGAAGAATCCCCCCTCAGCCAAAAACAATAAAAAGTACTGCAGTTATCATCGAGGTAATGGGCACCACACTGATGAGTATCAGGCCCTCAAGCAAGCAATCGAGGACCTTATTAAACATGGGCACTTCAAAGAATTTGTCGATGACTCAGCTCCCGTTTGGGAGAAAAATCAGGAGGAACCAGGGAAAAAGTGTCGTGGTCGCAAAGGTCTCTATAGTGTGGGGATCATTTTTAGAGGACGGCACCGCGTCACCTCGTAAGGAATTCTCGAGGTACCCAGGAGAGGTATGCTTGGGAAGCTCATCATGACCCCATAAGTGTCATGAGCACGACGCCGTGACCCGCCAAGGTTCATAGGGAGGAGGAAATCACCTTCTTTGAGAAAGACACGATGCGACTGTATCATCCCCACGATGATGCTCTTGTCATCGCGCCAGAGATAGGTCGATGCAGTCCATAGGATGTTGGTGGACAATGGAAGCGCCATGAATATCCTATTTCAGCAAGCCTTCGAGAAGATGAAACTAGACGAGGCAGACATGAAGTATACCTCTATCCTTCTGTATGGTTTCACCGGAGATCATTTGATCCCCAAGGGGACGATTTCCCTCTCGGTCACGTTGGTCGAAACCAATGAGATGACCAAAATGATTGAGTTTCTAATGGTAGACTATCCTTTCGCTTTCAATGACATATTGGGGCGACCTCTACTACGAAACTTCAAGGTAGTCACCTCGATATACCATCTGAAGATGAAGTTCCCCACCCCGACAGGGATAGGGGAAGAAAATGGATATCAACGCACATCTTACGACTGTTATGTAAGGGTAGTGCAGATGACATGCAAGGGAAAAGGAGCGTCGGTTGGCATCCTCAAGCATGCAATGGCGATCAGCAGGATCGAGCCACAGCCTAGCCCGGTTGAGGATGACATGGATACTCACATCCAGGAATGCCCTCATAATGGGCCAATCGAGGATCTATCTGAGGTGTCAATCGATCAAAGCGAGCCAACTCGAGTGTTAAAGATCGGGAGTAATCTTAGCCCTCAGCTTGCCAGCGACTTGACAGGCTTTCTCAGGGAAAATGTTGACGTATTTGCATGGACTCATGTTGACATGGTTGGGATCAGCCTAAACATCATATGTTATGCCTTGAATATTGACAGTGAAGTCAGACCAATTCACTAAAAGAAGAGAGCAATGGACTCCGAGCGGTATGCCGCCTTAAAAGATGACGTAGATAACCTCCTCTTAAACGGGTCCATCCGAGAGGCACTTTACCCGAGCTAGGTTGCTAGTCCTGTCTTGGTAAAGAAGCCCAACGACAAATGGGGAACCTACGCTGACTTCACCGATCTCAACAAAGCCTATCCAAAGAACAACTTTCCCTTGCCAAGAATTGACTAGCTCATCGATGCCACCTCCGAGCATGAGCTGCTGAGTTTTATAGACGCCTACTCGGGATACAATCAGATTCTGATGTACGCGTTGGACGAAAAGCATACCTTCTTTGTTATAGATCGGGGATTGTATTGCTATAAGGTTATGCCATTTGGCCTGAAAAACGCTAGGGCGACTTATTAGCGGCTGATTAACTGAATGTTTTCTAAGCAAATAGAAAATTAAATGGAAGTCTTTGTGGATGACATGCTGTTCAAGTCGCATGTCGCTTCAGATCACATAGCGCATCTCCCTAAGATGTTCTGCATACACCGAAGGTACAAAATGAAGCTTAATCCTCTCAAGTGTTCATTCGGGGTATCCTCGAAAAAATTCCTAGGGTACATGTTAACCAGAGGGGAATAGAAATTAACCCCGAAAAGATCCAAACTCTCCTTGATATAAGCAGCCTGACCAACCGAAAACAGATTCAGAGTCTCAATGGGCGAATATCAACTCTTAGTCGCTTCATATCAAGGGCAACAAATCACTGCCTACCATTTTTTAATATACTCAGGGCCAATAAAAAGTTCGAGTGGACTCCGGACTATGAACAAGCTTTCCAGAACATTAAAGAGCACCTCGGAAAACCACCTTTCCTGTCCAAGCCACTCCCTCAACAAATTCTTCTCCTGTATCTATCCGTCTCTCAACATGCGGTCAGTGCAGCTCTGATTTGGGAGGAAAGGAAAGTCTAATGGTCAGTATATTACATGAGCAGGTGTTTGTTGGACGTCAAAATGCAGTATCTAGAAATGAAGCGATTAGCTTATGCCCTGCTAATCGCCTCCAAGAAGTTGCGACCTTATTTCCATGCCCACACTATCCATGTATTAACCAACTATCCCCTCAGATAGGTCATCCAAAAGCCAGAGGCTTCAGAAAAGTTGCTCAAGTGGGCATTGGAACTAAGTCAATTCGATCTGCAGTACAGACAGAAAGCGACCATTAAAGGGCAGACTGTTGCAGATTTCATTTCGGAGTTTTAATAGCAACCGATTCAGGAACCCGAGCAACAGTCCAACGAAGTCACCCATGAACCTATTCAAAATCTGTCGATCTGGAGCCTTTATATTGATGGATCCTTGAATAGGAAAAGGGATTAGGCAGGTCTTCTCCTCCTTAGTCCCAAAGAGACTCGTATCCACGGTATTTCGGTTTGGGTTCAAAGCTACCAACAACGAGGCCGAGTATGAAGCACTACTTGCTAGTCTGCAGTTGACAAGAAGTGGGCTCAACCACAATCAGTATTCATAGCGATTCCATGCTGGTTGTTGACCAGATTTTGGGAGAGTATCAGGTCAAGGAAGAAAACATGACCAGTTATCTGAAGAAAGCTAAGGTCGCGCTCGAGTCTTTCAAGAACTTTGTAATCACGCATATTCCTAGAGATAGTAATTCTGTAGCGGATGCCTTAGCAAAAATAACCTCGTCGCCGAACTCAGATGCTCTAGAGAAGATTCTTGTTCGATGCATAGAGGTCCCTAGTATCAGCTCGCCCGAACAGGCCGTGGTTATGACGGAATTAGTTTTCTGGATGAACTCAATTATTCAGTATCTCCAAGATGGTACCTTGCCCAATGACAAAATTGAGGCAAGAACCCTGCGAACCAGAGCGGCTCGTTACACACTCATAGGAGATCAGTTATACAATCGAGGGTTTAGCACCCTTCTCCTCCGATGTGTAACTAACAAGGATGCAGACTATATCATGAGGGAGATTCAGGAAGGGATCTGTGGTAATCACAACCTTGCCAACAAAGTTGTTCGTCAAAGGTACTACTGGCCCCTGCTTCAAGAAGATACTTTCATCTTTGTAAAAAAGTGTGACAAGTACCAGCGGTTCGCGAACATACCGCGAGCTCCTTCCCACCAGCTGATAATAATGACTAGCCCCTGGCCATTCTCCATGTGGGGAATTGATCTTATTGGTCCCATGTCAGCAGGAAAGGGAGGGGTCAAGTATGTTGTGGTCGCGGTAGATTATTTCACCATGTGGGCTGAAGCTAAACCATTGGCCGCGATCACTACCAAGAAGCTCAAAGACTTTGTTTTCAAAATGTTAGGAAACGATCCATATACGCAGCGGAAAACAAAAATANATATAGTTGCCCAAATTATATTGCTTCCATAGGGAACCCTTTTCGATAATTCATTTACCGATTAAATGAATCATCTGGACAATTCATATACATATTTTATTTTAAATGCATGACTGAATAAAGGAAGCAATTTATATATATGAATTGAAGAACTCTTTCTTCTATTATTTATGATATATAGATACAAGACAAAATGCTCTGAAACCGACAACACGAATGGTTTCTAGGGCATACACTAATATACACTAACACCATGATCACTACCAAGAAGCTCAAGGACTTCATCTTCAAAAATATAGTGTGTCATTACGGAATTCCTCATACACTCATCTATGATAATAGGAAGCAGTTTGACAACGAGGAATTCAAGCAGTTTTGCCATAAGCTGGGGATCCATAAAAAGTTCACCTCAGTCGCAAGACCACAAGCCAATGGCCAGGTTGAAGCTGTCAACAAGACTATCAAGCATACTTTGAAAGCTAAGCTTGGAGCTGCCAAGGGAAATTGGG